GCCAAGCACAGTCACGTGTGCGGGGCGCTGGGATTCTTCCCCTCGAAGGCTCAGTTTTCCTGGAGTAGCCCTGGGAACTGTGGTTTTTTCCTAAACCTTTATAACCATGACTGTGCAGTCCCCCCAAACACACACTCGCGGGAGAGAGGGGGCCCAGGGTTCCCCATGGCGTCTGATGAAAGGCAGGTGCGAGCAGAGCCTGGTGTGGCTGCCCCCGAGACGCCCCCCGCCCGCCTCCAGAACTGGAGCAGAAAACGGGGGAGCACATGCTTAGGATGCAGCGGGAAGCGGGGTGCAACATGGAGACCTGCCAGCAGCCCTCTGCCTCCTTGGAGCAGACGGAGGCAAACCTTCCCTCGAGGAGCCCTTCCTGGTCGGGGACAGCCCTGCCCCCAGCCCGTTCCCACCCAGGGCGCCGCTCATCTCTCCCCAGATGACGACCTATGGCGCCTTCCTGCATAAAGGCTCTTTCTGCCGCAACTACTTCAACATCCTGGACCTGCTGGTGGTGGCCGTGTCCCTCATCTCCATGGGACTCAAGTGAGCAGCGGCAGGGCCTCTGAGCCAGGGCCTCGGAGCAGCAGTTCCCCGCGGGTCACTGGTGGAACCAAGCTTCAGGGGAGGGTCTCCCACGGCCGGTGATGGGCGTCAGGTCCCGTGAGGTGTCACCAATTGAACTGAAGTGGCAGGGCTAAGTGGGCAGAGCCACGTGTTGGAGACTAGGAGGGACTGCGGAGGGGAGTCGTCCCCCGGCTGTCCCAGGGAGCACGGCCCTGGCCGTGGTGCCCCAGGCTGAGTGGGGGTCGAGCCTGTCCTCCTGCAGAGGAAGCCCCGACAGCAAGCTGGCACCCCAGGGGAGCATGGCCCCATCGGGACGCAGCTTGACCCCGGGGCGTGGCCATGTGCAGCCAGGGGGAGGGGTAGGAGCGGTTTCAGGCAGAAAGGGCCCCTGTGCAGAGCTGGAGGCCGGAGGCAGGTGGAGGCTGGATGCCGCCCTCTGCCCGCCCTCGGCCACCCCCAGGTCCAGCTCCATCTCCGTGGTGAAGATTCTGAGGGTGCTGAGGGTGCTCCGACCCCTGCGGGCCATCAACAGAGCCAAAGGGCTGAAGGTGAGGGGCCTGGGCGGCACAGGGAGGGGGAGGGGGAGGGGGCCGCAGGGCCTGACTCGGAGCCCCCGGCCCAGCTGGCCGGGCACCGTGCCATGGGACAGGGTGAGGCAGGCGGCCGTGCTCCGTCTGCCTGGGAGCAGCAGGCCACACTCCTGGGGCCCTCGGCCGGTCGGTGAGGGCGGGAGCTGCTGTCCAGCCCCACTGGCCGCTCCCTCCCCAGCACGTGGTGCAGTGCGTGTTCGTGGCCATCCGCACCATCGGGAACATCGTGCTCGTCACCACCCTCCTGCAGTTCATGTTCGCCTGCATCGGGGTCCAGCTCTTCAAGGTGAGCCGACAGGCCCGGTGCCCGGTGCCCAGTGCCCAGTGCCAGCCCTCACACCGAGGCAGGCGCCTGCCCGGGGGAGCCCCGTGTCCTTCCAGGAGCAGGGTCGGCCTTGACACTGTGGCTCTGCTGGCCACGGCGACCCAGGCTGAGTGGGTCGCCCCCGCCCCCTACACAGCCTGACCAACGAGTCCCTCCCACTGAGCTGGCTACCCCCTACAGTGCATCTGCCGTCGTCCTGGCTTCCTGTGCTTCTTCTCGAGGGTGCTGGCACCCGCCAGCCCCGCAGTCACCCCTCCTGGTCACCAGACCCCTTCCCCTCCCCGCTGCCAGGCCCCTCGAAACCAGGCTCCTCTCCCAGCCCCAGCTCCACCTCCTCAGTCCGCTGGGCTCCTGCCCCTCTGTGCCCGTGCGCCAGCTGGGGTGTCTGCCTCATCCATCTTCCAGAAGCTTCCGAGGGTGGGAGTCCGTCTCTGCTGGCCTGGCAGCCGACCCCATTCCATTTTCACCTCCCGGGGACCAGCCTGACCAACGAGTCCCTCCCACTGAGCTGGCTTCTGGGCGCCTCTGGCTTTTGGGTCACCTGCAGGACACAGGCAGTGACAACTGGCCGGAGAACCCCAGGGACGCCCCTGGTGCTCCTGGCCCAGCGTGACCTTTTAAAAGCAGGATATCCTCAGCCTTGGCCGTGCAATGGCGCTGTCTACTGCCGTTCATTTGTTCAGGGAGCATTTATGGAGCTTTTTACAGGGTCCGGGCCTTTGTGGGCTGAGGGTATCAGGAAGCACAGCCCCCTGCCCCTCCTGTGGGCCGGGAACAGGCTGAGAGACCCGATGATGGTGACGAGATTTGGCCACCTCCGTGAGAGGAAGAGCCGGCCTCCTCCTCCCGGAGGCCTGGCCTGCCTTCCCCAGGCAGCGCCCATTTTCTTCCTGTTTCCATGACAACACATCTCCCTCCCCCTCCTCCTGGATGCAGGGGAAGTTCTTCAGCTGCAATGACTTGTCCAAGATGACGGAGGAGGAGTGCAGGTGTGCCAGGCCCCGCTGGCCGAGGGCGCCTGGCGGGAGGGCCACCTGGCGGGAGGGCCACCTGGCGGGGGACACGTGTGAGGGGCGGGTGGCCCTGCAGGCTGTGGAGCTGGGAGCGGGGCCCCTTGACGTTCCCAGAAGCACGTTGCCTTGCGTCACCGTGGGGAGGTGGTGCCCCACGGGGTCCCCTCCGGCACCCTCCCGGAGCCCCGTGTCTCCAGCACACTCACCGTCCAGGGCCCGGGGGGAGGAGAGTGTGGCAGGGTCACACGGCCTGCGCCGTGGAGTGACCGGGCCCCCTGCCTCAGGGGCTACTACTACGTGTACAAGGACGAGGACCCCACGCAGGCGGAGCTGCGGCCCCGCGAGTGGATACACCCCGACTTCCACTTTGACAACGTGCTGTCAGCCATGATGTCCCTCTTCACGGTGTCCACCTTCGAGGGGTGGCCGCAGTGAGTGAGGGCGCGGTCGGGGCGGGGCCTGGGGGTCTCTGCCAGGCCCATGGTGGGCGCTCAGCCAACCCCACTGGCTCGGGTCTGAGGACCAGGTTTGCTGACTGGTCACTCCAGGGAGCCTGGCCGGGGGCCCTGAGCAGACGTACCCTGCCACCCATTGGCGTGGGCCTCTGTGCCCACAGGGGGAGCCCTGCTGATGAATGGGGATTGCAGGGTGCGCGCAGAAAGGCCGGCCATGCCAGGACCTGGTCCAGCCTCTGGGCACGGTCCTGGCGTCTCCCCCACCGCCCGAGTGTTCGCAAAGCTCCGTCAGGCTCCCGGCGGCTGGCGGGACAAGCCCCCCCATCCCGGCTCTCCGCCCTGTGTCCCCACCACGCCAGGCTACTGTACAAGGCCATCGACTCGCATGAGGAGGACAAGGGTCCCGTCTACAACAACCGGGTGGAGGTGGCCGTGTTCTTCATCGTCTACATCATCCTAGTCGCCTTCTTCATGATGAACATCTTCGTGGGCTTCGTCATCGTCACCTTCCAGGAGCAGGGGGAGACCGAGTACAAGAACTGTGAGCTGGACAAGAACCAGGTGCCCGGGCCACCTGCCAGGGGGAGGGGACAGCAGAGCCCAGCAGGCCTCCTGCCAGTGAAGACAGTCCCGGGGCCGACGTGACCCCAGACCCTCGCCTTGAAGCCCAGCCCAGCCCCCACGCACCCCCATCTCCGCCCCAGCACCAGCTGCTGGGATGCGGGGCATCTCCCGGGGCCCTCGGCGCTGATGGCCCTGCGTGTCCTGTCCCAGCGCCAATGTGTGCAGTATGCCCTGAAGGCCCGCCCGCTGAAGTGCTACATCCCCAAGAACCCGTACCAGTACCAGGTGTGGTACGTGGTCACCTCCTCCTACTTCGAGTACCTGATGTTTGCCCTCATCATGCTCAACACCGTCTGCCTGGGCATGCAGGTAAGGGCCCCAGGACCCAGGGCCTGACGGGAGGGGAGGGAGGCTGGGCAAGGTGGGGCACGGCAGGGGTCCAGTATGGCCCTAATCTACTCTTCCCGGCACCTGCTGCGTGCCAGGCGCTGCGTGGGGAGGGGCAGGAGCGAACCGGGCCCAGAGCTTGTCGCCAGCGCCCAGCAGTGTGTTAAGGGGGCAGCTGCAGCGTTCAAGGGCCGGGCGATTCTGTAGACAGGCGGGGCTGGGGGCGGGCGAGGAGCCGTCGGGTCCGTAAAGCGCCCTCTCCACCCTCCGTGCTTCGCTTCTGCAGCCAATCCGGGTGGCCGGGTCGGCTGGCCTCTTGGTTCCGGTCCCGAGAAGAACGGGTTTAACCACAGAACCGGGTCTCTGGGGCATCGGGGACATAGCCAGCAGCACCATCCAGCCTTAATTAAGCAGCTGATCCCGTCAGCCCTATGTAAATGGGACCACACGATGGGCTCCCTGGTCCCAGCGGCCGAGACACACCCCATGACACCGCTGGCGGGTGATGAGGCTGTGGCAGGGGTCACTGCGCCACAGGCTCTGGTCGTGTAGAGGACCGTGACCAAGGGTCCGAGCCGGGCTGCAGACTCGGTCACCCTCCAGGACAGGGTGGGGTGGGGAGGCCTCCGCGTCCTCTGAGGTTTTGTGGAGGAAGTGGGAAGTGACCCACTTTCAAAAAAAGGGGGGGTAAGGAAGTCCTGGGACACTTGGAGGAAACAGACGTAAGGAAGGTTACGGTGCTGGGTCAGGGTCAAGGTTATTGCTCTGAGCTGCCTCCTCGTCACTGGGGGCCACGTGCACACGCAGCGGGCTCAGTGAGCTCAGCGTCCCACAGTCCCTGGTGGTCACGCCAGCGCTGGAGCCCAGGGGTCTTCTCTGCCAGCCCTGTGTCCACACCAGAAGGATGGGGTGCCTCTCCCCCCCACCTTCCACCGGAGGGGGACCCATCACACTGAGGAGAACTCGGGGGATTGCTGACCAGGCTCCTACTATTTTGAGACTAAAAATAAAAAACACGTTGGCAGGGGGCTGGAGAAGGGGGGGCACCGGGAAAAGGGTGGGGCTCTGGAAATGCAGGTCCCCCGCCCTCTCCATGCCCCCCCCCAGCACTACAACCAGTCAGAGCAGATGAACCACATCTCAGACATCCTCAACGTGGCCTTCACCATCATCTTCACCCTGGAGATGGTCCTCAAGCTCGTGGCATTCAAGGCCAGGGTGAGTGCTAAGGCCTCGGGCCAAGGAGCAGGTGGGGCTGGCGGGGGGATCTTCCCGTGGAGCACCTGCACCCCCAGCCTCGTTCTACGAAAGGCCCCGCCTCCAGCCCATCTGCTCCCACCTGCTCACTGCTTGGTCCCCGTCCACCCTCGGACTCAGGGCAGTCAAGATGGTCAGGACACCAGGACTGGCGGGGGACAGAGCAGGCCCTGGCTGCCCTCCCTGTGCCTTCTGACAATTCGGCCAGGGGTTTGCACCGTCCAGCCCCAAGCAGGGCTTCCCAGAGGGGGAGCGCAGGTGCCCCATCCAGACCAGGACCTAACTCCCGCCCCCCGCCCCACGTAGAGCGCAGGGGTGGGCGTGGGGCGGCGGCATGAGGATGCCGGGGCAGGGCAGCCCCCCAGCCTGGCCCGGGCTCTGCATGCCCACGGCCGGGCCCGCCGCCCCTGCTGGCAGCAGGCCTCTTCCAGAAGCTCACGCGGGCGTCCATGTCCCCAGGGCTACTTCGGGGACCCCTGGAACGTGTTCGACTTCCTGATCGTCGTTGGCAGCATCGTCGACGTCATCCTCAGTGAGATCGATGTGAGTGTCAGGTGGGCGGAGCCATCCCCGTTCAGTCTACAGAGTCTGTGGGGGCCCCAGGGGCGACAAAGGCAGGAACGGCCGGGGTGACAGTCCTGCGGGGCAAGCAGACAGCTCGGATTGCAGGCGGACGTAGCGGGCGAGCCCAGCTGTAGTGGAGGCAGCGGTCATCACGGGGTGGGGGGGGTGCGTGGTGTCGTCTGAAGCGGGGCCTGGGGGACAGGAAGCTGGTGGCCCGAGTCAGGAAGGACAGCAAGCACCACGGGCAGGGCTGCTGTGGCAGAAGCACGTGTAGGACGTAAAGGCAGAGAAGGTTCTGGCCCGCTCAGTAGTCTGGGTCAGCGGAAGGGTGAACACGCAGAGGAGGGAAGGGGGTACGGCTGAGAGGTGAGTGGGGGTGCAGTGGGCGCTGGCTGAAGGTTCCAAGCAGGACGGTGCAGGGATTAAAGAGATTCTTCTGGAAAGTTCAGCTGGAGGGGAGGGGCAGGGGGAAGAGTGACCGGACGTAGGGCCCAGTTCGGGGCCGGCCATTCATTTGCTCCTCAGATACTTGCCCACTGCCTCCCGCGAGCTCAGAGGTGCAGCGGTGAGCAGAGCACCCAGGAAACAGGCCACGGGACCCGTAGCATGGCAGGTGTGCCCGTGCGTGTCACGAAGGACACCGGGGGCACAGGGCTGACCCAGGGGCACAGTCAGGAGGCCGCTGTCACCATCCTGACGACAGATGGTGCTGGCTGTGGAGGCGGTGACAGTGGGCAGCGTCTGGACCTATTTGGAAGGTGGAGCTAACAGCATTTGCTGGTGGATTGGTTTAGGTTGACTGGGGTAAAAATCAGGATGACTATGACGATTTCTACCAGAGCAACTGAGAAACTGCAGGGGCCACAGGCTGGGACAGAAGCTGGGCTCTCCGGCAGGGACATGACAGGCAGGACGTGTACCAGGTGCCCATACGGAGGAACCAAGCAGGCTTCACAGGTCTGGGGTCAGCGGCCAGGTCAGGCTCCAGACGGCCAGCACTGGGAGGGAGGAGTTGCCTGAGGAATTTACGGAGAAGGTGCAGAGGCTGAGTCCCAGACTGCCCCCGTCTCCAGTGACCAGAGAGACAAGGAAGTGCCAGTTAATGGGACGGGAAGGCACTGGCCACCGAGCCAGCAGAACCAGAAGAGACTGGTGTCCAGAAGTCGAGGCGAACAGGTGTCAGGAAGGCAGAGTGGTCACCTGCGGTGTTGAACGGTCAAGGTCGATGAGAGCTGAGCATGGACTCCATGTGGCAAGGTGCAGGTCAGCGGTGACCGCCACCAGCATGGTCTCACGGGGACCGTGGGGAGAGGAATGAGAGAGAGTGAAGATGAACATGTCCTTCGAGCCGTTTCGCTGCACGGAGAGGGGGCGTGGGCGTTGGAGCTGTGGAGCTGAGGAGAACTTTCCTGAAGACGGGAGGGGCCGTAGCCTCTCCTCGGGCTCATGCAAATACCTGGTGGTGAGGGTGACCCAGGAGCTGAGTCCTGAGTGAGTGACCAGAGAGACGAGGAAGGGACCGGGTTCAAGAAAACAGCAGTTTAGCCAGTGGCAAGGCCACTGGGTTTGCGATTTGAAGCTGTGGGTGAGTTACAGGTGACAGACTAGCAGACTGTGGGGTGGAGCCAGCGACAGGCACAGAGCAGTGCCTGAGGCAGAGAACACAGGAACAGCTCTTACGAGGATTCTAGGTCTCGCTGGACAGCGGCAGGTGCCAACCGATCGAGGGGTATGGAGCCCGTGAGGGGCCCGGGCCGAGCAGGGAGGCAAACGGCCCAGGAGCTGGCCCGAGGAGAGCGGGGTGCAGGGACGAGGCCCCGGGTGGAAGGGGCAGCGGCAGTGGGGGCAGGGAGGCCGGTTCTGCCAGAGAGGTCCATCTCTAAGACTCAAGAGGCTGGGAGCCCCGGGGTTCCTGCAGGGTGGGGGAGGGAGCAGGGGACAGAGGGAGGAGACCCTAGAGTCAGAGGCCGAAGTGCAGACAGCCCCCCTGTGGGCGGGTGTTTGCAGGCTGTGTCCTGCAATGTCCTGGACAGGAGCCCCTAACCTTGACCACTGCAGGGTGCCACTCCAAGGGGGCTGTTCTGGCCCCCGGGACCCAGCAGGGGACTAGTCCCAAAGCCAGGGCTCATCAGGTCCCTCCCTCTGGACTTCCCACACCAGCCAGCGCAGGACTTCAGGGCGGGGGAGAGGGTGGCCCTAAGCACCCTGTGAGGGGTGGGGCCCTGGCACAGAGCGTTACCTTCTGGGGACTCCGGGGCACGCCGGTCATGCCGGGGAGAGCCTGGCCCATGCGTCCTGTCCACCTCCATGTACAGGACAGACAGGGACAGTGACAGGCTGAACTCTGCCTGCTCAGGCCCCAAGGGGCAGGCGGGCTCCGGACAAAGACAGCGTGCGTGGGCCTGTGTGGTACGTTTCCATCCTCGCTCCGTTTTCGGTGGAAACAGCTTCCCAGAGGCCCTGGGGTGTAAGGACAGCTTTGTCACCAGCCTAGCCAGGAGAGGGGACTCTAAATAAACAGCCCAGATTAGCGATAGCTACTTCTGGACGTTTGAGGGCCGTGTGTGTGTCGGGGGGGGCGGGGTGCAGCGGGGTGCTGCATAAATCTGAAGTCTCCTTGGTGATGAGAAGCAGAAGGTGTCACTGGTCATGATTTGATTTTGGGGAGCATCAGATGGCCCTTACCAGCGACATTCGTTCGAAGTCATGTTCAGATTTGAAATTTAAATCCTGAGTTATATTCCTGGCGCACAAACCAGGGCACAGTGCTGGTCACAGCTTCCCCCGTCCACGACGTCCCCTGTCCCAGACTTCCAGGAGCCGCTGGCTACAGGTGCTCAGCGGTCAATGCTGCTGTCGCCCGGCCGCGAGCTGGAATCACCCGGGGTGCATTTAAGTCCTGAAGCCAGGCCCGCGCCCCCCAGAGGCTGACTTCACTAGCCAGGATGGGGACCCAGCAAAGGGAGATATTTTTCTAAGTTCTCTTGTGATTCTGAATTACAGCCAGGGTTGGGAGCCAGTGGCCCAGGAAGAACTGCCCTGGGTGGGGAAACGAGGCTCTGGGGCCTGGCCTACCCACAATCGGAACATAAAGCCACGACGTCCCCTGTCCCAGACTTCCAGAGCAGGGCGCTCCTGAGTGTGGCCCAAGGGGAAGCTGGGAGAGAGCGGAAAAACAGCTGTCCCCACACCCCGGCCTGCTCTCCGGGGGCCCCAAGAGCCGGGGAGCCCCGGCCCTGCGCCCAGGCATCTGCGGTGGGGGCTCAGTCTCCCCTGGAGGACGGCACGCCCGTAAGGGCCGGGGCTCGGGGAGAGAGGGGTGCCCACCCAGCCCTGGCGGCGAGCGAGCAGTTTCCAAGTGCCCCTCAGGGATGTCCCCACGTCCGTCACGTAACCCAGACGCACAGGAAGAGCCTGAGCCCCAGGAGGGACCTGTCCCTGTCCGGTCTCCCCTCCGCTCCCCGCTCCCTGGCCCCAAGCCTGTTGCCTCCCCATTCCCACAGCTTTGTCCTCACGTCGGCCGGCGCCCCGAGGGCCAGCCAGCTGGGGTCTCTGTCCCCCCCTCCCCCTCTGTCTCTTGCTCTCTTTAACGTTTCTGGTGTCTGTCCTCTCTGACACCTCCCTCCCACGTGTCCCTCCTCCTCTCTCCCCTCCCCGTCCCCTCCTCGTCTCTTCTCTCCACAGACTTTCCTGGCCTCCAGCGGGGGACTGTATTGCCTGGGTGGAGGCTGCGGGAACGTTGTAATTCCAGGCTGCATGAGCCCTGCAGCTCGCATGCTCAAGCCTGGCTGTGGGTGCATGGGGCCCCCTCCCCAGAGCAACCCCCCAGGGCGGGGTTGGGGCACCGTGCATGGATGTCATGGCTTTCTAGAGCCCTGGGAAGCGGGACGAGGGGTCTCTCCGGCACCCTCTGTGCACATGGGGACATCCAGAGAGGACTATGACTGCTGGCAGGCATGGGACCTTGGCGACAGGTCACGGGCACGAGGAATGCCTTTGGGGACACAGGAAGCTGGGCAGGGGGCTCTCCCCTCCCTGAGTTATCAGGTGTCTAAGGCCAGCACAAGGGCAGCGGCTGGCCGGGCTCAGGACAGCCGCGTGCGGGGTAGGTGGTGGGGAGGAGCCAGGTCGAATTAGGGACACAGAGCAGCTGAGCTTCGGGGAAACCTCTGCACTGGGCGGCCCCTCGGGGAAGGGCCAGGAGAGCTTCGGGGGGTCCTCGGAGCAGGTGAGATGAGGCAGGAGGCCCCGGAAGCGGGAAGCGCGCGGTGGCCCGGGCCGCAGCCCCGCACCCTCCGCCCGGAGCACCCACCGAGCACCGGCTCACCGCATGCTTGCGCTCCACGCCCTCCACGGACGTCCTGCCACCGGCCCGGCCCGGCCTGGCCACGGACATCCCCCCCAGCACACACGCTGCCCCTCCCGCCCCGCCCGCGCCCGGCCCTGGAGGTGCCACCCCCCGACTGACTTCTGGGGCTGCCGCCCCGCAGGACCCAGACGAGAGCGCCCGCATCTCCAGCGCCTTCTTCCGCCTCTTCCGCGTCATGAGGCTGATCAAGCTGCTGAGCCGCGCCGAGGGAGTGCGCACGCTGCTGTGGACGTTCATCAAGTCCTTCCAGGTGCGGTGCCCAGCCCGCCCGCGCGCCCAGGTGGGGGCCGGACGGCCCCGCCCACTGCCCGCTGCGCTTCCCCCGAGAGCCCCTAGGGGCGGAGCCCAGGGGGAGCTGAGCTGAGGGCCTCACCGAGCCCTGCGCACTGACCCGCCCCTCCCCCAGGCCCTGCCCTACGTGGCCCTGCTGATCGTCATGCTCTTCTTCATTTACGCGGTCATCGGCATGCAGGTGAGGGGTGGCGGCCGCGTGGAGGGGTCCCTCAGAGGGGGCATCAGTGGACCCTGGAGAGGTTGGACCTCCTGCCTCGCAGGCTCGGCCTGACAGCCCAGGGGGTCCTCAGACAGCTGCAGCCTGAGCAGGTGGAAGCAGCGCAGTCAGGACCACAGGCTTAAGGCTCTGATCGGAGCCCCGCCCCCCAGCCCCCTCTCCCCCCACTGCCCACACAGTCCCCAAGTGAGCTTGCCCTTAGAAAAGCTCATCCACCCCCTTCTTTCCTTGGGCTTGATGCGAAGAGCTTCCCCCGACCTCACACACAGTCAGATGTCCTTGGTTTCAGGTCTGAGCGCGGGAAGGGGGCAGGGGAGGCAGCTGCGGGCCACTCCGGGCTCCCGGTCAGCGGCCACCCTGCGTGGTTTGCAGATGTTCGGAAAGATCGCCCTGGTGGACGGGACCCAGATCAATCGGAACAACAACTTCCAGACCTTCCCGCAGGCTGTGCTGCTGCTCTTCAGGCAGGAGCCCCGGCCCCGCCCCCCCCCACGACCCCACTGCCCTCTCTGCGCTGGGGGCAGGGCTGGCTGCCTGCTTCGACCCCTGTGGCCACACGGGGCCCTGCGCACAGAAGGCTGAGGCTCTGCTGTCCCTGTCATTTCTGACAGACAGCTCTGCTCAGCAGGGCACAACCAATGCCACTTTACAAAGCACTTTCGAGGGAGGGCCCCGTGTCTTCGTTCGGCACTGGGCCCCACAAATGATGATCCTGAGCTGAGTGTGGCTGTGCCCCGGGCTCACCCCAGAAGCAGGAGGCAGAGATCAAACGCCCTCGGGGGAGGGGCGAGGCCTCGATGACCTCTGACCCCGACTCCACTGGGTCCGCACAGAGCTCTCATGCTGTCCACCCCCGCTCCAGCCAGGCAGGCCCTTCGCTGTCATTTAGCTCCTGTTTGTGGTCCCCACGGGGTGGAGCAGAGGCCCAGCTCACACTGAGCGGCAGGTGAACCCCAGGCCGCTGGGCCCCAGGAGTGGACAGGCCAACAGGAGCCCCGCCTTCCAGGTGTGCGACGGGCGAGGCGTGGCAGGAGATCCTGCTGGCCTGCAGCTACGGCAAGCTGTGCGACCCCGAGTCGGAGTTCGCCCCCGGCGAGGAGCACTCCTGTGGCACCGGCTTCACCTACTACTACTTCATCAGCTTCTACATGCTCTGCGCCTTCCTGGTGAGACGCAGCCCCGCGGGCGGGAGGGCCGAGCCGCCGGCCCCGCTCAGCCGCTGCCTCCGGGGCTCCACTGCAGGGCTGCGCAGGGCGAGACAGGACGCCGTGCTCAGACGCCCCCTTGGTCTCGTCATCCTCGGTGGGGCTTGTTTTTCTGAGCGCTTCTTCGCGCCCCAGGGAGGTTGTTAAAAGGTTTTCCTTTTTTTGGTTAGAAATTCGTGACCAAAAGAACTGAACGAGGCCCCGTCCTCACTAGGTAGGGCTTCCAGTCCAGCCGTCTGCTGTCCCCATTCCTCCCAGGACGAGGGGGCCGAGAGTCCCAAAGCCAGGCTCCGCTGGGGCCGCCGGCAGCAGCCACTGGGCCCTCGGCCCTGCGCTGTTCTTTCCCGCATTCACTCGGATCGGCTGGGCGAGCGTCCGGTGTGTGCCAGGCTCTGGCTCGGGGACAGAAACAGGGCGGAGGCACAGTGCTGGCCCCGCGGAGCTCGCTGGGCCCCAGGGGGTCCGCATGTCAGCAGCCCCGCACTTCAGGGGACGCCCCATAGACACAAAAAGGCAGCGGCAGTAATGGGGCGCAGTCCCGTGAGGGCAGGAAGGGGATCATCCCCCTGGGGGGGGCCTGAGCACCTGGCAGCGACACCATCCATGCCAGAGCGTGGAGGCCGGCGGG